ATGCTCTTTGTTCTGGAGGGAGCTTGGATAAAAGTCGAGCCACATGGGATCCACAATGCAATTCAATGTCTCCTTCTGTTCCTAATGTCTTAAGGAATCCTACTAAGGCTTGTATCTGAAGAGCGAAGCGTTCAAAGCCTACAGTGTCGCCAGGCTGAATATCTGATGCATCCATAATGGCAGCAATTTTGCTCAGGGCAAGCTGATGAGGTCGACCGAACCGTTCAGTGAGGGCTGCCATGGTATCTGAGTAGGGAGTGGATGAATTTAAAAAGGAATCAGCGATGAGGCGAGCATCTGTTAACTTTAGGTGATCTACCAAAATTTGGTACTTGAATAGCTCTGTAGCTTCATCAGGTAGTAGGTTATTCAAGGCAAGTTTGAGACGGGCAAATTCACCAGGCTCTCGACGGGTAAAATCTGGAATGGTTGGCTGCGGACCTCTATAAATGATCTCCTGTCTTGCAGTGTTAGTCTGGATCCGTGGAAAGTTAGCTGGTGCTACATGTGGCTGACTGGAGTAAGGAGAAGGAGGTGTGTAGATAATAGAAGCTCTTCTTACTGTTGTTGGCTGCCTTGTGTCCCGCGTATCTCTGTGAGTGTCAACAGTGCCTGAGGAAATCTGAGCACCCACATTATCTGGAACAAAGGCATTTGTATAAGGCTGCACTGGAGGAGCATTCTGTGCATAGCTAACTGTGTCTGCATAAGGATCTGTATTCTTAGATGTAGAAAGGTGGCGTGGTGCCGGAACTGGAAAGGCTCTAGGAGCCGGTGTAGGCTGTCTGCTTGCAACTCTAGGCAAAGGAACTGGAGGGGTTAATACTTGGAACAGTGACTCAGGCTTAGGAGTTGACCTCTGGCTTTGCGACTGGTTTATCAGCATCTCCTGCATACTTTTCTGGATCTCTATAAGTTGTCTGATCTCTTCCCTCATGGATAGCTGAGTAGCACGGAGATGTCTATTCTCTTGTTCCAGATCATGCACTGAGCTTTGGATATCAAGAGGTAAAGAACGTCCATACCGGTGAGGGCTGCGTTCATCTCTCTCACTCCAACGATCCGTGGTAAGGTACCAGGGCTCTGAAGCCAAGCGTGGTGTTTCTAACGAATCAGGTGATCTAACAGCCCCTTCTCTTTGATCATGATAAGAAATAGATGCCTGTGGATGGGCCATAGGAATATCTCTGTCTTCATCATCCTGTTGAAAGTCATCTGACCCATGTGGTCGCGGTGTTGACTGAGGCAGAAGGACATTAGCTCTAGGCAGTCCAGCATACTGTAATTCGAAATCTTGTAAGTAGGCTGGTTGACGAACTATACGTCTAGGGCGTGCTCCTTCTACTTGATACTCTGCATTCTGGTCCTCTGACATTATTAGTCCAGTGTAGACACAATATCCGGCTCGAAGGACCAAATTGTTTTGGAGATTTATGCAAGGACTGTATTTGTGCTGGAAAAGGTGGATTTGTATCCGCACTGGTGTGTCGGCAAGAACACATACGACTCAGAGTTTGAAGCAGAGCTTGTAGTTTACTCTTGATTCAAGTTGAATAGTAACAGTGAGTGGTAACAGTAAGTGGTCTGAAATAATAAAGAATAACAATAATATTAGAGATACAAGTAAATCAATAACATTCACCAAGACAATAGAACTGGTTACATTATTAAAGTTATTGCAGTTCCTAGATAATCCACAAGGTGGCGTTCAAGAGACGCACATGGAGTTAGTTGTTATGTGGGACGCCATTATAGTGTCATTACAGGCAGTAACATATACACCCGATATAGAAAACAGCACATAGCACAATATTTACACAAATATAGAAAAATAACCATATAAATCACCATCCAGAGATATCTCTCACACTATGAAAGTACTCATGCATTACTTATATTAAACGTAAAGGCTGAACTTTGGCGCTAGCGCGAGCTGCCGCGATGATAAGCAAACGAGCTTGTGATAACTCAATAAAGTACACAAATCTGCTTTAAACGGATGAATAACATCACAAGGTAAAAGGAAATAAACAACTTACATTCTTGTCATTAACTCGCTCACATAAGACCACTACTGAAGGAAAGATGAGATATTAGTCTTCTGCATCGGAGCATTCATATTTCGTTCGTCTCTTACTGACTAGGCACTGACTCACGTCATTCATTAAACGACTCTCTGATTGGCTGAAACCTTCTTAACAGATTCTAAGCTTTCAAATGATACCATGAATGATACCATGGCTTATCGGGAAGTCTATAAAAAGAACGTACGAACATCATAACGAAGTTTTTTTATCCCGGATACGGGATGGTGGAGTTAATGTGGTTAAACAACGTGGCGCAGGACGTGAAAATGATAACTGCGTCAGGCTGAAACTATCAAAGAACACTTTCGTCGCGCCTGGCGCTGCATTGCACCGGGTGTATAAGGGCCACAGGTCTTGAATGGGGGAATCCTGAAATCTCAAAAACTGCTTGCTGAACTCGCAAGTAAATAACATATTTTAAATTAGCAAAAAAAATCTGACATGAACTGTCCCATTCTTATGCTCAAATAGCATTAAATATGCTTATCTTTCTGGCCGGACCAGCGAATGCGCATGTGCAGTTCTGAAGGCGCTTCTCAAGACTCAAATTGATGCCTCATCATTTCCTCGATCCTCCGTCCTCCAGCCTGTGACCCGGAAACCAACGCATTCTCATCCTTTGGCGTCATATAGGTGACGCCATATGACATTTCGTCGAAATCTTACGCACATGGCATCCTTTAGCGTCAATATAACACGCACTGTTATGGGTAGGTTTAGGTCTGGGGTAGGGTACGGTTATGACACCTTGGGATCTGCGTCTCATATTCACGCTAAACGATGCCATGTGCGTTGGATTTAGACGAGCGTTACCTGTATGACGCCTTGGGTTCTGGGTCTCATATTGATGCTAAAGGATGCCATGTGCTAAGATTTCAACGAAATGTCCAACCGATCAAAGAACATCTCGAAGTTTGTTGAGAAAACCTGACGCACGTATACAATCTCCACCCTTTCACATCTGTCTTAATTTTAATGTATGCTTTACCTTTGCAGTTTAAATAAACCATATCACACATATTTCAACGGGGAATCTTGCTTTATTATTAAAATCACAACTTCCGTTTCTTACTGTCAGGGTCTTGCTCTGGCAGCTTTGTCTGTGTTGTCTTTGTTTCATGTCTCTATGTTTGTGTTGTGCTTGAACATATGGTTGTGTTTGTGTTGGCCATGTGCTCCTCTGTTCCTGCCTCCTTGTTTCTCTGTGCCACGCCCTCTTGTCTAGTTGAGTCCTCGTTTGTCTGAGTGTTGTCACCTGTTCCTCATGTTCTCTGCTCCCTTGTTTCAGTCTTCCTTTGCGTGAGTGTGTTCACCTGTTCCTTGTCTAAGTGTTCTCACCTGTTACTCTTGTTAACTCCCTTTATGTGTGTGCTCTTTCCCTCATTTGTTGCCAGTTCGTTGAATGTTGTGCTACTGTTTAAATCTGTGCTACTTAGCTAGTTTCTGGTTACCTAAGTCTATTGTGTTTTATTTGTAGAAGTTTGTTAGTGCTTTAGTTCTGCCATTGGTCCTGTCTGTCTTGTCTCCTGAGTCTCTAGTTCCAGTCCTGCTAGCAGAGCGTCCCTGGCTGCTTGCACTCTGTGCTTTGGTGCAAGCCTGGTGCTTAGCCTGAGATCCCTGAGTGCCTTGCTGTTGTCCTTGGAGGTTCCTGTCTGGCTATTGCTAGTACTCTCAGGTCTCTTTCTGCTCTGCAAACACTACTCTCCAGCCTACAGTCTTCTTGTGCTAGCTACAGCTGCTGCTCTGCAAGTTTTGCTGCAACGGCTGGCTTTGTGTCTCATCCCTGCCTTTTGTCTGGACTGTTCACCTCTCCCACCACATCTTGTCTACTGTTTGTCAATAAACCTGTTAACACTCGTTCTGCATTTGAGTCCTCCTTCATAGACCCGTGACACTTACAGACTTTAATGGGGTTTTTTTAAGTGTATTTAAGTAAGTTTGTTTTAACTATATTTACCAAAGTATCCTACTTATATATATTACTATATGTTTTTATTTATATGCAGAAATGGTGACCAAATGTAATTTGTCTCTATTTTGAAGTGTTAGCTGTTTTTAATTTGCTGTCTGTCTGCTTTAAACATGGCACAAATGCTTTGTGTAGGCTATTAACTTTAGGCCTACATTTAATACTAAATTACACAACATGTTGGGGTTCCAATGTGTTATGGGGACTTTATAGACTTAATGATTTGACCAAAAAAGATGTCCACACGCACACACACACTATTTTTAATGTCTTTTCTAAATCTGTAAATTTCTTAATATAGTGAACCACCCCCTCTTGTGGTGGAAATGAATTGTCCAATGTCAAACAGTAGGCCTATACCTTTCGAATCTCACATTTTTCTTTCTTTTTTTTTCATAGATAAATGTGATTCAAGGAGAAAAATAGAAAGATATGCAGCAATTAAAATTAGATGTGATACAAATCAAATTATCAATTAGGCTATTTAATGTCTCCAAATGTCCACAGCATTTTTAGAATATCAACTTTTCTATTTTTGTAAATATGTATAATACACATCTGACACATTATTTTGTCAAGGGTTGTAAACCATATTGAACAAAGGGGAAAACATGAACAAATGGAAGCAGGAGGTAGACTACGTTGCACCCAAACATAGAGAATAATAAATATGGAACTAAAAATTATCATCACCTGTTCTTCCCACTCCTCAGGAAACAGTGATCTAATTTTATTATCATTATCTTATTAAACAGAAGGATGCTTGCACAGCTGGAAATATACTGACGGTGTTTTGCCAGAAGTCACCGTCCGTGTCCGCCGTTTCAGTGTCCCGCCTACCCAAAACCCATTTTTACACCTTCATTGATCAGTGATTGACAGGCGAGAAAGAAGAATGAAGGCAGAATGAATGGTGCCTACTAGTCAACAAGCATCACTGCCCAGTGAGTCAGAGCGCATGCGCAGTGCTTACGCTCTGGATGCTGCTCAATATAGAAAAGCAAGCTGCCTGTTCGCCAAAGTAACGATTTAAAGGAGAAGAAATGTCTCGAAATAGTGCATCAGATATGCAAGATGAAATAAGGATTGCCAGCCGAATGACAAAATGTGCGGACGCCGATGCTTCTCCGCGCTCCGATCGTTTCATCTTCGGTCCAAAATGCCACTTGCTTAACTGACATACGAGGATAGAGACATAAACAGTCATTGGTAAAGGAATATAAAGCAAATCTACAAATATGAACGTTACGTTGCTTAAAAAGCGAAGGCTGGACTGTGTGTATGCGGTGCTGTTTTGGCTCCATCACGGTGTGTGGATGTGCTGTTCCGCGGCCGAAGAGTATCATTTTAGCGTTGAGGTAAGACTGGCCCAACATCAGCATCAGCATCTTCTGCTTGTGTGTTGACAATACGCTTTTACTAAGACCTACAAAAACAGGATATATTGCAGCCAGGTCGTAAATAAACCAGGACAGCACAGAATCACGTTGAATCACTTGGTGGATCTGCACCATGTGCCGCCTGATTATGTGATATTGAAGGCTATATATATGGACAACTGTTCTATTCTAGTCTAGTCTTATCTGTGCTCAGTAAACAGTAATGCAATTCTTTTCTGTTATACCATAGTAAACAGAAATGCTGTGCTGTTCTGTTCTATTCTAGTCTAGTCTGGTTTACCCTATTCAATTATTCTGTGTACTGAGTTGACAAGAATGCAATTCTATCCTGTTATATTCTATGCAAGTCTATACTGTTGTATTCAGACATTTTGTATGTAAAGTAAAACATATTCTGTTCTATTCTGTACACCAAATTACAGAATGGAATAAAATGGACTGAGTAGAATTGAATAGAATAGCATTTCTGTTTGTTTTGTATTACAGAATAGAATAACATATAATTCCTGTTTACACTGTATTAGAAACGAACAGAATAAAATATAATTACTATCTATTTTGTATACTGAATTATGGAATAGAAAAGTGTAGACTCTCATTCCTGTCTTCTTAGCTCACCAAATTACAGAATTAAAAAAAAGTAGATTCGACTAAACAAGAATGGAATAAAATGATTCTATTCTTTGATACACAGTAACCAGGAAACATGTTATTTTATTCTGTATTAAAAAGTCAATTGAAATGCTATTCTATTCCATTCAAGTCTGTCTATCCTACTCTGTGATTCGGTGTACTAAACATAATTCTATTCTTTTCTATTGTATTTTGTAACAAAGATAACTGAAATGCTGTTCTTTTCCATTCTAGTCTACTCTATTCGATTCCGTGTACTGAACAAAATAGAATATAATGGGATAAATAAAATTCCTATCTATGCCACACATTGAAATGCAGAATAGAATTAAGCATATTTGACTAAACTAGAATAGAATACAATGATACAATTCTATAATACCATTCTTAGTCATAAATAGACAAGAATTCTGACTAAATTAACCTATTCTGCAATTGTGCACTGATTAAATTCTATACTATTCTATTATATTCCATTATATCGATTCTATTCTGTGTACTGATCGATAGTATGAAGTTTACCTTTAAACATGCTTCATACTCAATCGTACACTGTTACGCAATTTAATGCTCAAGCTCCTAACAGCTCCTAACACTGCACACTCATAGAGAGAGAGAGAGAGAGAGAGAGAGAGAGAGAGAGAGAGAGAGAGAGAGAGAGAGAGAGAGAGAGAGAGAGAGAGAGAGAGAGAGAGAGAGAGAGAGAGAGAGAGAGAGAGAGAGAGAGAGATCAGGAACAATCAGAGCTACTGCTCCTTCCTCCGGTCCAAATCCATTCCCTCAGAGATGACAATCACACGCCTCTAACAGGCCATGTGACAATCATTGGGGTGTTGGAGAAAGCAAGACCTTGATTCACTCAGTGCTACTCAGCCACAGACTCTTGTGATAATGTGAAGTACATAAAGATTATGTAAGTTGCTTAGCAAATCTCCCCCAAACTCCTCTGGGCCGAAATGGGCGCAAATGTGATGTTTAGTGCTGCCGGCAACGCTGGTTGACATTGAGAGAATTTGTCACCCGCCTGGTTCTGTTTGGCTGGGAGGCGAGAGATGTAGAGGGCGCTGTGCCAGTGGATCAGCTCGTGGTGGACGTGCTATTGTCATGATAATATTGATGCTGTCTCGGAACAGGCTTTATCGATGAAACTGTCCTTCACAAATTACAACAATACCAGTGGGACAGAACCATCAGAATGTTAAATGAATGATCATCACTCTCTCAGTAACTACAACCCCTTGTTCTTCTCAGCTCTCTGCCACCCATGTAGCTCCTTGTGTGGGTTTTTTTGCTGGCAGGGCTGCAGTGGTTGGCAGCAGTTGTTAGTTGAGTGCACAGGTCAGTGGTCTTTGGGGAAGAGAGAGTGTGTGTATGTGTGTGTGTGAGAGAGAGAAAGAGATGAGTAATGACTGCTCGGAGGGAGGACTTCTGATCCCCGAACTAGGAATAGACTAGAGAGCGCAAGGTTCAAGGATTCAGAGTGAAATCAAGATTGGGCCCCCAGGGCTTTAATTACGCACGTCTGTCGCATACAGGTGCAAATGTGCTTAGCTTAGTGCTAAGTTGGTAATGACATTTCATGTAGCTCTGGGTCTACATGTGATTAATAGAGAGTCAGGGGTTGTTGCTACATGCTATGGACCACTGTGATAAACAGTCATACTGGTTCAGATAAGGCGTGTGGGTTTTGTAGATGATAAGTGGCCATACTTATTTTTTAATGAAGTTTAAAATGCATTTGAATCTGTTATGATGTCATGAAGGGGTCATAAAACCAGTGATCAGACAAATTTGCGCAAATTCTCGTTTTTTGTTTTTTTAGACTTATGATTTGCCTGATAAAAAGGATGAAAAAAACCCATAGACGTTGGGTATGTTTACACGACAACGATGTACTAAAAACAGAGAAGTTTTTCCTCTTTTCACGGTACAGGCGACAACGTTGTCAAAACGATCCCTGTTCACGCGGATCTGTGAAAACGACTAAAAACGCTGTATTATTCATGCCAGGCCAGTAGATGGCGATGTCACTTTGTAAAGAAACAACGAGCCTATAGACTTAACACGTAATATACACACACACGACGTCACCGTTTGCATCGTTTTTTTGTAGTTTACACTGAGACGATAACGGTATTGTTTCCAAAAACTTGCACTTTGAAACCCGTTTTCAAAAGGTCGCATTTTCAGGCCCCCAAAACGCTGTTGTCGTGTAAATGAGTGACCAAAACTCATAAAAAGTTTAACGTTTTTAGTTGAAAATAGTGTAGTGTATATTCCGGGATCATTAGAAGCTCAAGCAACAGCACTTGTAGCATAATGTTGATTCATATGAATATTGACTTGTACCTCATTTTCATTAAAAAAAAAGCATTGCAGTGAAGTATCAACACTCTCACACTCTTCATGCTTATGTTTTTTCTAAAAATCATATGTTTTTGTACAAATCAAGCTGTACAAATTCAAATTGGGTTGGAAGTTATTAGGGCCGATCTGAAAATAGTCCCCGTTCCGTAAATAATATGCGTTTAAATGTATGAATTCATATGAAATTGTACAAATTCATACGAATTCACCACCAATTTTCCAAAACTTTAAATAGTATGTTTTTTCAGGCAAGAACATGCAATGAAAGTGGATGGGGCCCAATAGTCAGGGTTGGGGTAAGGGATGAGGCGAGGACTCAGTGGTGAAGAGATGGGCTTGTATGTTCCAACGAACATTCGCAAACATCAACGCAAACAATAGACAAATTAGAAGTCTAAAACAAGAGTTTTTAAAGAGAAGTGTCAGAGGAGCTTGAGTTTGTTGCCCAGCCCTGTTTGTTTGAACCGTGAGAGGCGTCAAAGCTTACGATACTCCTACATCATACGTCATACATGTGTCAATGTTACTCCTTTGGCGTAAGTCGACTTGCGTATAGGCCGTCTGCCGGAAGCTAGTTATTTTAGTCGATAAAGTTTGAAATATGGATATTTTTCTTACTTTTTATTGACATGGCAGATTGTATCAAAAATGACAGTGCTCTTACAACAGAGGTTAGCTCAATACATTAATAAAAATAACAATTGAGATTGAACACGATATAGTAATGAAGACCAAGTTCCAGTGAAAAATCTTCACAATCCCATGATGTCTTTACGTCCTTCATTTATGTGTGTATTCTGAGTGGCAGTTTCTCTCTGCAGATGATGAGGTTATGATACGTGACAACATCTGAAATACACAATCGAGTTTAGAGTTACATTGTGTCTCTTCCAATTGATTATGTAAAAACTATTATGTCAAAATTAGCAAAAATGGACAGAATGAGCCCTTTACCATGTTAAAAGGAAAAAGTTATATAAAGTCTTGGTATAGCTTAGCTTTAATGTTTTTTTGTGACTGGGTATGTTTAGGCATAAAGTCATAATTTAAAAAAAATCTAACAATATGGATCATAAATTCTATATCTCTGTTACTTACTTTGTGGAGAAGAGAAGATGAGTATCCTTAACTGAACAGAGCTGCTCACACTTACATGTTCTGTTGAACTAAAAAGAGAAAAAGACATGATTGTTAGGAAATGATTGTAACAATTTTTAAAGTTATAATTTATAGACATTTTAAGAAAGAAATAATTGACCTGTTGAGAGAGTATGTTGACGGTCTGTGTAGTAACTGTAGTTGTACAGCTGAGCTCCAGAAAATCAGTAATGAGGAGGCTTTGACAGTTACAGATTTGGAAAACAAAAAAGCGGGAATAAAGAACCCTAAACTCTAACACAAATAACCACTTCTCAAGGGTTCTTCAGGACGATACGGTACTAAAAAGAACTGTTACTACGTGTAAAGAACCATCTTTTTTTAGAGTGTAGGATGAGTAAACCATGGGCTAATTTTCATTTTTGGCTGAACTATCCCTTTAAATAGATCATCCATGGTCACAATAAGCAAGCCAACATTCATTACATTCAATATATTTCATACCATTAAAATATATATATACATTTCAATCTATATTTTAACGTGTTAACAATCAGTTTTGTAATATGTGCAAGGGAACTCTGGAGTATGACGTATGAGGGAGCCAGAGATTAATCAAAGATCAAATAAAGAAAAATGACATGGAACAGAAAACAGTGAAGTAGACATGTTTGTTACAGCAGCATCTGGAGATCTCGAATAGGTTTATTATCAGGAGTTATTCTGGGGTGCGTTTCCCGTACAACAACGTAACTCACTGCTTTACTACCATAGTGCGATGCATCGCTGAAGAAATCAAGTACTCACGACTGTTTCCCGAAACCGTATTGTCGCAAATTGGTCGTTCAACCACATGTCAC